GGGTGAGGGAAAGGAAGGGATGTGTCCCCTAGATATTCTTGGCATAGTGGGGGACACTTTGCACCCAAGGTACCCCTCGGGTCAGTCTGACCTCCCCCGCCCTCAGGTTCTGCGGCCTGATCCAGGCCTTGGTGACGAATCCAGATTCCAGGTCGCCCGCGGAGGAGGCAGAGGGTGTGGGGGAGGTGCTGGAGGTGAGGAAGGGGGCTGGGAGCTCGGGGAGGGGAAAGGGCTGAGAACCCTGCCAACCCCCCCATCCCATTCGTCCCCGCAGTTTGATTACGAGTACACAGAGACGGGTGAGAGGCTGGTGCTGGGCAAGGGGACCTACGGTGTCGTGTACGCGGGCCGGGACCGGCACACGCGGGTGCGCATCGCCATCAAGGAGATCCCCGAACGAGACAGCAGGTGGGGCGCGCGGGCCGTGGGCCAAGGGCTCTGGGGCTGGTCGAGCGGGTGGGACCTTGAGTTGAGAGGGTCTTGTGGGCGGGGCGGTGGGCGGGGAGGGGAGAGCCGATGCCCTACTGGTCCGGCTCAAGCGGACGGGCTCTGGGACGTAAGAGTCCGAGCCCAGTAAGCCCTGGCCCGCGGGCAGAAAGGCTGGGACCTGGTGGGTCCGGCTACGGGCTACGGCCCGAGGGGCCTATGGGCTGGGTGACAAGGTGGGGGAGGTCGGGGAGGGTACTGTGGGCAGAGCAGATCCCGGGGGCTGGGCTGGCTAGGGCTGCAGTCGCCTAGGCATCTCTGCCCAACTCTGGCCTATTCCTCTCCCTACCTGCGCCTAGGTTCTCTCAGCCTCTACACGAAGAGATCGCCCTGCACAAACGCCTGCGCCACAAAAACATCGTGCGCTACCTGGGCTCAGCCAGCCAGGGCGGCTACCTCAAGATCTTCATGGAGGAAGTGCCTGGAGGTACCTGCCCTGCTGGGATGGGAGTGCGACTGGAGGTGTGGGGCGTGGGGATGGAGCCAGGCTGGGGTGGAGAACCCTGTGGGAAATGAATGCTAGCGTGTGTGGGTGGTGTAGCCCAGAATTAGCTGACGCAGTGCAATTGGGTGATGGAGTCTGGGCCATGGTGTGGGTGTGTGTGAGCAGAGAGCTCTGAGCTGAAGTAAGTGGGTGGCAATGATGACCTTGGATTGCACCTGCCCAGGCAGCCTGTCCTCCTTGCTGCGGTCAGTGTGGGGACCCCTGCAGGACAACGAGAGCACCATCAGTTTCTACACCCGCCAGATCCTGCAGGGACTCAGCTACTTGCATGACAACCGAATTGTGCATCGTGACATCAAGGTAAGCCCTGTAGCTGGCCCACCCTGGCTTGCTGGTAGGGAGGAAGGAGGAGATATGGCCCCAGACAGAGGCTGGCAGTTTAGACTTAGTGGGCTGATCCTTTGCAAAGGGTGGGAGATTCATCAAGCAGGTTCCCTAGAGGAGAGATCAGATCTGAAGCCAATCCAGGTGCCAGCTCCCAGGGGCGTTGTGGGATGGCAGGGAGAGGAGGTTGATAGAGGCAGAGTCAGGCAGGATTCCCAGGAGATGGTATCCTGGGATAGGATCCAGTTCTGGTGTCAGGACCACAGCCTAATGTCCACTGAGTGAAATGTCCACTTTACTCAGGGGGACAATGTGCTGATCAACACCTTTAGTGGGCTACTCAAGATCTCTGACTTTGGCACTTCCAAGCGGCTGGCAGGCATCACGCCTTGCACTGAGACCTTCACAGGTAACAGGTGTGGGGTGGTGAGTGGGGATGCTGACCTGGGGCAGAACTCTTGGGGACCTTCCAGGGAATGGTGCTTCTCCTGGGCATGGAGATGGAGTCCTAATGGGGGATAAAACCCAGGGCAGCTGACTGAGACAGGGGTGAGGTAATGGAATCTAGAATTGGAGCTTGGATAGCTGAGGACATTGAGTTTAGTGCCTGAAATGGAACCCCAAAGTGTTGGTGAGGACCAAAGTTGGTGATAGAATTCAGAGTGGATGATATAATCCAGGATATATGATGGAACCTACTGCAGGTGATGGAATCCATGGATGTGATGGAGCCTAAGATGAGTGAGGACACCCACATAGATGTTTGACAACAAGGATAGGTGATGGGAACTGTTTGGATGATAGAGTTCAGGGCAGGTAGAGGTCGCCAAAGGGTGATGGAGCCCCCTGCTGCTCCTTTAGTGATAAAGCCTCTATGAGCATTATTGCTACTGTTCGTGTCCTAGGGACCCTACAATATATGGCCCCAGAAATCATTGACCAGGGCCCACGAGGGTATGGGAAAGCAGCTGACATCTGGTCATTGGGCTGCACTGTAATCGAGATGGCCACAGGTCGCCCACCCTTCCATGAGCTAGGGAGCCCACAGGCTGCCATGTTTCAGGTGAGAACCCTCAGGCCCTGCTCATGAGGTGGGGTGGGGACAGATTGTACCCTAAACACCTCTAAACTTAACCCATGTTTACCCTTCCTGTCCCCTCCCAGGTGGGCATGTACAAAGTACATCCACCAATGCCCAGTTCTCTGTCAGCTGAGGCCCAAGCCTTCCTCCTGCGAACTTTTGAACCAGACCCCCACCTCCGAGCCAGTGCTCAAGCACTGCTGGGGGACCCCTTCCTGCAACCTGGGAAGAGGAGCCGAAGCCCAGGCTCCCCTCAACATGCTCCACGACCCTCAGGTATTGTGCAAGTAGAGACAGTGAACACACTGGGGTGAGGGCAGAGGAGCTGTGGAGCTGACAGGGCTGAAGGGCGGGGGGAGGGGGGCAGCTGACAGTCTTATCCCTCCCTCAGATGCCCCTTCAGCCAGCCATCTTCCTTCAGCTGATTCAACCACCCAGTCTCAGACATTCCCACGCCCTCAGGCACCCTCTCAACACCCGCCCAGTCCCCCGAAGCGCTGCCTCAGTTATGGGGACACCAGCCAGCTCCGGTGAGAGCCCAGGGTCCTGGGGTGGGTTTACTTTATCTAGTTCTGCCCTTGTACTCCCTACAGAATAAGTCCTCTTTGCAGACCTGGGCATCTTAACCACTTGCAAGGATGGCACTTGGTGCCCACCTCCCAAATACTCTTACTTGTATTTAGTTAAGGTGCCCCCTCAGTGCCAGGTGTCTCTCTTATTCCTGTGAGAGAGGCCTGAAAGTCAAGGACAGAGTCAGGGTCCAAACCCTAGCGTGGAGGCGGCTGGACGGTGCGGCTGCCCGCCCTCCATTGGCTGCTCCCCGTTGCTCCCAGGGTGCCTGAGGAGCCCGGAGCCGAAGATCCTGCATCCCCTGAGGAGAGTTCGGGGTCGAGCCTGCTGCATCAAGAGAGCAAGCGCCGGGCCATGCTGGCCACGGTGCTGAAGCAGGAGCTGCCCACACTGGCAGAGAGTCTGTGCCTGGAACAGGAACAGGTGGGCAGCCCGCCCAGCGCCCCCTGGTGGCAGAGCACCGACAGGATTCCTACTGATGGCCTCCCCCAACCCCAGCCCCATACCAGCCTCTCTCTTGGGTCAAGAGGGAATACCTGTTGATGACCCCTCTCCTCTTTCTCAGGGTCCCCGTCTGGGCAGGAATCTTGTGGAACAGCTACTGTGCTGCCTTGGGGCACATATCCACACTCCCAACCGCCGGCAGCTGGCCCAGGAGCTGCGGACACTGCAAGAGCAGCTGCAGGCCCAGGGCCTTGAGCCTGCACTTCTGCACGGACCGCTCTTTGCCTTCCCTAATGCAGTAAGGGAGCTTCCTCACAGTTAGGGCTGCCTAAGAAGAGCTCCCTGTGTTTGGGAATGTGCAAGGACTTAATGCTGAAAGATTCCATGTCTTCTCTGTGAAGATAGAGCTGTTAGGGAAGAGCCATCTGCCCAGTCCTTAGCTTCCCAGGCCCTCCCTTGACTCCAAGCCTGTCCACCCACTTGCTTCAGGCAGACTTTCCTAGGCCTTTCCAACTCAAGCCCCACCTCTATTTGAGGTTTAGCAGTCTTAGCGGCGCCATCCTCCCTCTCCAGGTGAAGCAGATTCTCCGCCAGCGCCAGATCCGCCCACACTGGATGTTCGTGCTGGACTCGCTTCTCAGCCACGCTGTAGGGGTAGCCCTGGCGGTGCTGAGCCCAGGTAGGCCGGGGAACGGAGCATCCTGTGGGTGAGGGTGTAGCCCTTGGAGGCGTGATCACTAATGGAGCCGGCAGGGGGTGTGATCACTACCCTTAACCTGGGTGAGGAAGGAGCTGGTGGGGGTGTGACCAAATGGACACCTCCCAGACTGACACTGCCTGGCCACTGTGCAGAGCTCCCTCTGCCCTCTGCCTGTGTCTGAGGGTCCCAAATGGGCATTTTGCCCAGCCTAAGATCACTCACTCTAATTGGTAGAAGTGGAGAAGGTTGCAATCCCTCCGAGGTCAGAAGAGTCCAGTAAAGAGGAGCCCCAACCCTTGGAGCAGGAGACCCCAGTCCAGCAGAACTTGCTCCCAAGGGAACCCGAGCAGAGCCCCCCACCTTTGATGGTGCAGCTGGGCCTCTTGCAAGCAGAGACTGATAGGTAAGGCCCCTGGGACCCATCCATAGCCTCTGTGTGAGCTTCACCCCCACTCCACCCTCCCTTCTACTAGCCTTCTACCATCCAACAGGCTTCGAGATGTCCTGGCTGAGAAGGAATGGGAGTGCCAGACTCTGATGCAACAAGCTCTACAGCGGGTCAGTGAGGACAGGACCTGTTCCCTGGCCTCAAAGCCCCCAGGTGAGCAGAACTGGCTGGAGAACACTAATGGTGGTGTGAGACACCTTCTGGCAGGAGGTGTCCCTGGATTCACCTGATTTCTCCTTGACAGCTGCTCAAACAGTGGACCAGGACCTGGTGCGGTGGCTACAGGAACTGAACGTGGATTCAGTCACCATTCAGACAGTGAGGGACAGAGTGCTGGCTACCCCTGACCTCTACCAACCAAAGACTCCACCTCTGCCCATCTTTCAGCTCTTCTCACTTTTCCCCTCTGATGCAGAGAATCTCAATCTCAACATTAGAGGAACACTTAGTATACCCCTCCCATTGTGAAGATGAAAAAAATGAGGCCCAGAAAGGGTGGGATCTGCCCCTAGAATGTTGGTAGTAAAACAGAGCTAGCCTCTGATTCTCTGGACACAGCTTTCTCTGATTTTAATCTCTCCCTGTTTCTGTGTGCGGGTCTTTGTCCACAACCAGCTGCTGAACCACAGCTTCACCCTCCATGCCCTACTGACCTGTGCCACTAGAGATGACCTCACCTACACCTGCATCAGGTATGTCCTGCACCCTCCAGGATGACCCATGCATATGGGATCATGCTGGTCAGATCCTGACCCCCAGCTACAGGCTTGCCTAGTTTCCTCTCTGGAAACTACAGGGACACCAGGGTCCCTTGGGGACAGAGGGGGCATTAGGCAGACAGTGGGTACCAGAGAGAGCCCAGGGTCTTCCGGCTGAGCCACAGTGAGCTTGCTGCCCCCAGGGGAGGGATGGTGTGCCGTATCTGGAGAGCCATTCTGGCGCATCGAGCGGGATCCACGGCTGTTACCCCTGGCCCCCAGGAGGCTGAATGAGGGCATCAGAGGCAAGAGGCCAGACCCAAGGATGAGTGAATGGAGAAGACGCGAGCAACTTCCGGCACACCCACCCCAGGGCCCAGGGGCAACTGGAGGAGGCCAGGTGGGTGGGGGGCAGTCCAACCACAGAGATGCCCAAGCTCACCGAGCACCACCAGACAGACTATTAAACAGAACACTTTTGTACCTTTGGGCCTTGGCAATTTCTGTCCAAGGTATTCAGGGGTCCTGGGACCAGCTCTCTAAGGTCTTTATGCCTGAGTCTAAAGTGCCTTCACCTGCCCCCCTACACTCCCCTCACTCTTTCCTGTCATGCCCCCATCCCCCCAGCCCCAAGTAGATATCAGCTCCTTATTGCCCTTAGAATATACTTTATTGACGTTTGCCAAGGGCAGGCCCTGAGATGATGGTCCAGAGAGGGGTTTGGTAAGGCTTGTCAGGCAGCTATGTCCTGGGGGCCAGGTTGGTTCTGAGGGGAAGAAGGCCATCCACCCACTCGCACGGTCGCTCCAGGAGTGTCTGCCACAGCTGCTTCTCCTCAGGTGTGGAATCCATCCAAGGCACCTGGAGCCCGTAGCTGCTGCCTGGGCAAGGGTGGAGGTCATGGGCATGTTAGACACCTCACGTCCCAAGGAAAACCTGCCTGATCCCAGATTATGCACTGACACCGCAGTTCTCAGTGGACACTAAAGCTCACAAAAGGGCAGAAAACTGCCCATGGCCACACATTAAGCCCCTGCCTCCCAGCATGGGCTGCCCCCAGGGTCCTGCCCCACTTACCGGTGCCCAGGCTGAGGCGTGTGCCCCCAAGCTGGCGGCTGGCCAAGGCCCCATGGTCCCAGAGGGAAAGCTCAGCACAGGCCTGGCGCAGGTCAGCAGGCCCGAAGCCATCGTAAACCATGGTGTGGTTGAACACAGGGCTGAGGCTCCTTCGCACCACCCTTGTCCGTTGGCGGCTGGCCCGGCTGTCATCAGGCAGCACTGAGCTATGGGGAAGGTGGGCTGGCATCAAGTAGCTACCCGATCATACTCCCGAGAACCAACCAGTCAGAGTCCTACCTATACTCCCTCACAGTGTCCATGCCCCCTGGCTCCCACCTGAGACCTGGCCTCAAACCCTCGATACCCTAGGACCTTTACAGCAGCCTCCTCTCAGGTCTCCTGCCAGAGTAACAGCTCTGAAATGGAATTTTGCTACTCCCCGGCTCAGTGACCTTCATTGACTTCCTGCTGTCCCCCAGAGTAGTTTCCAAACTTTTTAAAGCCTTGGAGCCCTTTCTGCAAGATAAAAATATTGCTCAGAAGTACAAAACCTGAGACAAACAATGTTTGAATCAGGGCTGGGATCTTAGAACCTGTTTGGCCTACCTCCATTTCACTCTCTGAGGGTGGGGCAGAACCTGGGGACACCACCAGAGGTCCCCCAGAGCTTACTTTGAAAACCACTGAACTGCAGGCCCCAAAGCCTGGCCTTGCAGGTTTTCCATGGAAGGGCCCCCATGACCTCCCGGGTCTCAGCCTCAGCTCTCCAACAAGTCCTATAGGTGCCCGTCACTGAAATGCAGCTCCTCAAAGGTGTCCTCAATTCTCTGGACTCAAGCTGTCCCCTTCACCCCTGCTCAGAGGTCAAAGCCCAGACTGGGGGATCAAGGGTGGATGATTAGAAGGGGGTGGGGAGCTCCCAATGCCCCTCACCATTGTACGTAAGTATCCAGGGACCCTGAACGAAGAGGCACGAGGTTCTGAGCTTCCTTCACCCAGAAGTGCAGCTCCCCGCTCAGGGGCAGTCCTGCGCCTGTGGAAAAGTGGGGCTCAGACTTTGCCCCATGGACAGCCCTCCTCTTGTGGGACAGAAGTCCCCTGCTTCCCAGAGGCCCTTCCAGCTTAGTCTCTCCTGGGTGGCCACTCACCCTCAGAGCCAGCGGGGACATATTTGAGGGACAGAGAGAGCAGCCCTCGGCTGAGAAGGTCATCAGGAGAGGGTGAGACCTAGGAGAGGCAGTTGAGAGGCGGTTGGTCAGGGAAGGGGACAGACTCATGGCAAAGAGGCCCCAAGGGGGTGGAGTCTCCAGGCACCCATAGGGTATGGCTAGCAGGGTGGGAGGGATCTGTAGGAGCAGACCCTCAAAAAAACCCTGGCCGTTGGGGGCCAGGTCTTTGCATCTAGTGGAAAGATTTCCAGGCTGAGAGGAGGGTCTGCAGAAGGCGCAGTCTGAGGGGTCTCCGGGAAAGCTCGGTGGGGTGAAAACCGGAGATTTGTGCCGCGAGTCCCTCTACGCGGATCAGCTGCCTCACCCGGGGCTGCAGGGGGAGCCAGACGGCCTCGGAGTCCCAGTTCCAAGTATCCAGGGGCACTTCGACTTCGCCCAGAAAGATGTTGCGACCCAGGCTTTCGCGGTGCCACACAGACAGGCTCAGCACGCGGCCCGGGAGCTCGGCCTGCTGGACAGAGTACTGGGGACAGGAGGTGCGCGTTAATGGAGCGTCGCTGATGGCCCTGGCTTCGGTGCTGCGGGAGTGTGGACTGGGGCTTGCTCCACCAGTTTCCTTACAGGGTGGAATCCTGGGGAGCCCCGAAGGGCATTAATGGGAGTCTGGACTAATGCCGAGCCCACCGCTAGATTCCCTGCCGTTGTGGCAGAATGGAGGACTGGAGCGACGGGCACTGACGACACTGTGGCTGCCCCTGCCACCCTGAGCCCTCAGGAAGGGACGTCCGATGCATGAACAGGGGCGGGGGGGGGGAAGGGG